CATTCACACCTTACCTACCCCCCACCCCACCCCTTTTCACACCGTATCCACCCCCACCCTACCCCTTTCTCCTTCATTGATCTTAAACTCTAAAACGTGGGTGGTTGGCAGGTGCTGTTTTGTGGTTTGCTCCTTCTTTCCAATAAAAAAATCTATCGTCTCTAATCACCCCTACTTTTTTTCGTGTTTGTAATGTTACTCTCTTGTAACACCTCTAATTTTCGGGACTTATATGACCTTATTGTGTTGCAAGTGCCGTAAAACTAATACTAAAACTAAACTAAACTCTAAAACTGCCATCCCCCCCCCCCCTACCCCCACAGGTGTTCTACTGGAGCCACAAGCTGTACCTGCTGTTCTGGGCCCTGCTTATTGTGCACGCCGAGGACTTCTGGAAGTGGTTCATCGTGCCCGGGCTGGTTTTCCTCCTAGAGACCGTCTCTCGGCTCACCTGTGTCCGGCACATACACATGGGGCGGACCTACGTCGAGATGGTGTCACTGCTGCCTTCTGAGGTACGTCGTCGGTGCATGGGGGTCAGAAGAAAGAAGAAAACGAAAGCGAAAGGAAGGAACAAAAAAAAAAATCAAATTATGAAACGAAACGTAAATGAATGAGTGATTATTTGATTCATGAATGAATTAGCTACTGAATCTATAACAACTGAGCACTGTTGATCTGTGTCCAGCACATACACATGGGGCGAACCTACGTCGAGATGGTGCCACTGGGTACGTCAGTGCATGGGGTCAGAAGAAAACGAAAGCAAAAGGAAGGAACAAAAAAAATGAAGATCAGATGAAAGGAAATGTAATTGAATGAGTGAATATTTGATTCATGAATGAATCAACTATTGAATTAATGAACAACTTAGCCAGTCTTAAAACTTCAGACAGCTCCAAATTTACAAAGGAAATAGGATGATCATGAACGCACTTTTACCCACAGAGGCTCAAATCAAATCAAAGTGCGAAGTTTATGTATTTTCCCCTCGCATATCCATCCCGGTGTAGGACCCTTTGGGATTTCCAAGGAAAGAACAAGCGAATTGGCATCTTTTGCCTTTAATGAAGAGCGAAGATTAGCTATACCAAACAGTCATAAAACTACTCGTATGTTTTCAAGGAAACTCGACGTTGCATGTAAAAACTTTTCTGTTTATTCTGTGCCATGGAACAAACATCTTTGTCTGTGGTGCAGCGGTTAGGCGCTTCGCTGTGGTACGGAGCAGAACCGCGAATTCGATCCCCCAGTAGGGCAATGTGTTTTGGAGTATCTTAATGGTCTTTCTGCTGGAATACGGTATCCCTCTCAGCTTGCGTAGACCCAAACAGGTAGGGTAGGAAGCCCGCCCCTTAAATCATCTAAACTGTGTCGATTTTGGTGGTTGGTGGTTGCTTTGGTGTGGTTTGTTCTTCTTTTCTATCAGACATCCATTGTCCTTATCTCTCCCCCTCCTTTTATTTGGTCGCTTTTAAGCGCTAGGGTGCTATCCCGAAAAATGCTGTTTTGAGAAAATTGAAGGTACAGCTTTTGGACCCTTGTTCAGTTTCTTTAAAAGACAAGGAGAGTTTTATTTACAACCAAACAAATACATGTATGCACACCAATGAAACCAAACTTTTTCTCTATACGTAGGGCAATGCCCACTTTTGGTGTAGGTAAGATTTCTGGAAACCCCAAAAAATCTGAGTTAGCCCGCTTATCCTTTAAGCAACCATTTGTATGCTACTGTCTAGTTAAGTCTCTAATCTTCGACATTCATATAACCTATTTGTGTTGCAAGAGCCGCAAAACTCTTACTAAAACTAAAAATTGTGCCATTGATAGGGGGTGTCAAAACACCCATATTGGAAGAACGGGAATAAACACAGGGTCTGACCACTGACAACGAGAGGTGGGCAAAATCCGGATAATCTATAAGGACAGCCGGATAATTCTCAGTGAAACATTATCCAAATTCAGACTCTAAACTCTCTTTCCTGACCCGTTTGCCGAAGTGGGGGCACCCATTTGTTGAAGTGATGCTAATCCGTTTGTCGAAGTGGTTCTAACCCATTTGCCGAAGCGGTTCATAATAATTTTATTTGCCGAAGAGGTGCACTAATATATCCGGATTTGGCTAAAGCGACTCATGACCCAGTTTTACTGACAACACTGTCCTTGCCCCCCTCCAGGTGACGCAGATGGTCATTTCACGTCCACCAGGCTTCCACTTCCGGCCAGGGGATTACGTGTTCCTACAGGTTCCAGCAATTGCCAAGTACGAGTGGCATCCCTTCACCATCAGCAGCGCACCAGAGGACACAGGTTTGGAGCCCATTTACACGTACACATCAGCACAAACACTTACACACTTACACTCTCACACATTTACACACACGCACGAGCACGCAGGCATGCACACAAACACACACACACACACACACACA